GCAACAGCTAACGCTGTGTCAGTCACCACTGAAACTTTAGGCACGTCAGTCCATTTCTTTCTTTCTTTCTTTCTTTTTTTAAAATATATTTTATTGATTTTTCACAGAGAGGAAGGGAGAGGGATAGAGAGTTAGAAACATCGATGAGAGAGAATCATCAATCATCAATCCCTACCAGGGATGTGCCCGCAACCAACGTACATGCCCCTGACCGGAATCGAACCTGGGACCTTTCAGTCCGCAGATCGACGCTCTATCCACACATCAGTCCATTTCATCTTCACAGTCCTATGCGGTGGATGCCAGTGCTCCATTTTACCAATGAGGACGTGTATTCAGAGGCTGAGATACTTGCTTAAGTCACACAGCTGGTGAGTAGCAAAGCTGGGGTTTGGACAGGAATTGGACAGTTTGTACTTTCACTCTGCTACCCTAAGGGGCAATCTCCTGGGTTTCCTCTCTTTCTGAAGAGATCTGCTGGGAGGATGGGGGTAGGCAGGAAGGACCAACCCTGGGGGATGCCTGACAGAGGGGCCCTTAGGGGGCAGCCTCACTTCCCACTGAGCCGGGTGGGAGGGAGTGAAGCCGGAGGGCCAGCCTGCTCCAGCAGTCCGGGACCGGGACCGAGGTCACAGACCCTTGGCAGGACATGGGGCCAGGCCACGGGACTCTGGGCATGATAAAGCCGGGAACCCAACTGAGACTGCAGAGCTGAAGGAGCTCTCTAGCCCGGTTGGCGGCCATTGTTCCCAGGCTCCAATCAGGAGCACCCACTTCCTGTTATTTTAGGCGGCAGGAAATGACCCCATCCCGCAGTCCGGCTCCACCATGGCCCTCCCTCAGCCCCGGCAGGGCCGGCCTCACTGAGGCCTAAGTGCTGAGGGCAGAGGCCCAGCCCTAGGCTGAGGCCTAAGGATGGCCCACTGGCTGGACTGTCACCACCGCTGAGGGCCAAGGCCGCCTCTGGTCAGACACTAGCTTGGCAGGATGTGTGTGTGTGTGCAGGGGGTGGGGTAGGGGGGAAGCGGAGGGGAGGCACATGCTCTACCTCTGCCGGCCAGAGAAAAAAGATCATGGGGTCCCCAAGACCAAGATGCAAGGGAAGTGGCCAGACTGTCACCAGCTAGCGTGGCCACGATCATTCAGCAGAGGTTCGGTGCACAGGCTTTAGAGTCAGAAAGACCTGGGGTCGAGTCCAAGCTGTGGAGCTTTAGACAAGTGACTTTGCCTCTCTGAGCCTCATCTGCAAACTGGAGATAGCACGAGTTTTCACTTAGTTTTTTTAAAAAATATATTTTTATTGATTTTTTACAGAGAGGAAGGGAGAGAGATAGAGAGCTAGAAACGTCGATGAGAGAGAAACATCGACCAGCTACCTCTTGCACACCCCCTACCGGGGATGTGCCCGCAACCAATGTACATGCCCCTGACCGGAATCGAACCTGGGACCTTTCAGTCCGCAGACAGACGCTCTACCACTGAGCCAAACCGGTTTCGGCCCACTTAGGTTTTAAGGATCAAATGAGACAATGCATGTGACATGCTGAGCACTGGGCCAGGCACAGGGAAGGCCCTTCATGGATAGGAGCAGGAAGTAAGTCAGTTCACCAGGGAGTCTACTGGTCCACATTTGCTCTCAGAAGTGGCAAAGAGTGCTGGTGGGGGCGGCTGAGAGGTGATGGAGAAGCCGCTAAAGGCTGTGCCCGGGGTGCCAGGCAGAGCTGCCACTTGTCAACAAAGCTGCATTATCTGGGCCTGGCTCCTTGGCTCCCTCACTGGCCCCAAGGCCCAGCGGGGGACCCAAGGACACAGCTCCCAGCTGCTTGCAGCCTAACTTCCGGCCTAGGTCAGACCTGAGACCTGTCCTGACTGCCCTCAAGTGCCACCACTTCTATTCTATTCTGGGCCTGCATTCAGCTCCTTTCCCCACTCCCTCAGCCCTGCCTCACCACCAACAGATGCCCATCCTGCGGGCAAGCAGGGGGTGAACTGGCCTAGGGATCTTTCTTTCTCCTTTGCATTTGTGTGACTACACATTCGAGGCTCATTAGAGACCTCATTACTGGGCCCACCAGTCCATTTAGGGAGGAGGCCGTCAGTGGGAGGTGCTGGCACTGACGGGGCTGGCTGCTATATGCAGAGATGTGGACCACTGTGCCAGCCTCACCAATGGCTACTCATCCTTTCAGGTCCCCACAAATGCCTCCTCCGCTGTGAAGCCTTCCCCAGGTGGAGCCCTCTGGCCGCTGTAGCACCATTATACCTGGGTTTCCCTGCAGTGAACACAGATGCCTCACCCACTGGGTCAGTAGCGACTCTGTCTGATTCACTTCTTTGCTGTCAACACAGCCAGCAGCGGGCTGGCACATGGCAAGCATGGGTGTGCTGGATGGGGACTGTCTCCCATGTCCTCTCCTGCTCCCACTGCCCCCTCACACACACCCTGGCCCTGTCCCACATTTACCTCCTGAAGTTCTAATTACCCTATTCCTCAGGCCTCCAGAGGAATTAAAAATAATAACAAGAAAACAAATAGTGTTTATTGAGCACTAACTATGTGCCAGGGCTGAACTGTTTATATGTTCATTTAATATAACGACCCTAGTGTCCCTAATTTCTGGCATTATTCTCATTTTATGGATGGGAACATTTAAGACTTAGGTTAAAGCAACTTAACCCGAGGTCACACCGTAATAAATTATGAAGTGAAGGCTTAAAATCTTTGATTCTAGAGTCTACACTCTTAAGTAAACTAACTGCCAATTCCTGCCCTCTCCTCCCCTATACATATTTCATACCTGCCTGCTGGCACCAGTTCCAATTAGTATAACCATAATTACGGTGATAACACTGTCCTGAGGGTGTCTGTGTGCCAGGGCCCTCTAGGTACCTCACCTCTAACCCACACTTGACCCCATCCCACAGACTGATACCACTGCCTCCCTTTTTCAGGGGCATAAACTGCGTGGGGAGCAGACAAGTGGCTTGCTCCACTCCAGTTGCCAGGAAATGGCTCGCTGGGATTTCCCTCCCGGTTCTGACCCAAAGGCAGGTGCCACATTTGTCCCCTGTTCCATGCTGCCTCCTGTAAATGCCCAGTGTGCAAAAGGAACTCAGAGGGCAGGGATCCTGTCACGTGCACTCAGCCTGGCAGCCATGTCTCAGACTCCCACGGGGCACACGGAGTGGGCAGGACCTTTATTCCTAGGAAGCCCTTGGCTCAGAGGGGGCCTCTACCACTTTTGACTTCTCTCTGTGATGGAACAGGCTCTCCAGACCCCTGTACATAGAATAGTCTTCCCAGTAGGGTCAAGCATCCCACCCATTCCTTTATCCCCAGTCTGGGCATCCCACTCATGTCCCTAATTATAGCCACTCAGGCCCTCATCTGCGGCCTGGTCACCACCCCCACTCAGGTTATGATGAACACCCCAGCGATGGGGACCCTGAGGTGCAGAGGTCCGGTCACCTGAAGGCATGGACCCAGGCTGGGCCTTGCTGCGTGTCCCTTCTCAGACTCAGCAGAACCAAGGCAGACCCAAGCAGCCTTGTTCCAGCCTACAAACCTTCCGAACCGCACCAGTCTGATGGCCTGCCCTCTGCATCCTCCAGCCCCCACGCCTACAGGGTTCCCCTAGAAGCACCCATGCTGCATAGGGAGGTGCCCACCCACTGCCAAGCGGCTCCACCTTGTCCTGGGCTCTCCAACCCAAGACACTGCTTCATCCTGGGCCCACGCCCCAGCAGCAGGGGAGGTGGCGATGGGGATTAGGCTGCAGGACTCTATGGAGGTGTGCGCGCGGATGGGGCCACCTCCGCCCTGACTCAGTGGGAACAGGACTTGGGTACTCAGTAATCATGCTCTTCCCTCCCCTTCCAGGAAGAAAAAGAGAGAGAAATCCCTCCCTCCAACGCCAGGCCCAACCAGAAATCTGTCCCCACCCCCTCATCAGCTGCTCGCAGATCCGAATGGGATTTGCAGAAGTCCAGGGCGCTGGTGGTTGGTGGGGTGAGGGGAGGGAGAGCTTTGATGGTCAGGGGCCTGGAGAGAGGAGAGCAAGCGAGAGAGATAGAGAGAGAGAGAGAGAGAGAAAGAGAACGAGACTATATGTGTGTGTGAGGGGGGTATGTATCCAAAGTCTCAGGCTGAGCAATGATGTGGTAGGTCCCCGGAGTGCAGGCCTTGAACCTTCAAATCATTCTCCAGGGGAGGGAGACTGAGGCCCAGAGAGGCGGGGAAGGAGGACGAGTGGAAAAACCAGATTTTTTCTGTCCCCTTCCTCCCCAAATCGGGCTGGGTGGGCTCCAGAGGCCCACTCCCCAGCTCCCGCCCTCGCGCCCCAAACAATGCTGCCTCCCCCTCCCCCTCGCCTTTATCCGGCGGGTTACTTGGCAGCCGCCGCTCGAGACCTCGCCTTCCCTCCCTCCCTCCCCTCCCCGCCCGCCCGCAGCAGCAGCAACAGGCCCTTTGCGCGGCAGCTGGAGGGATGGGGTGGGGGCGAGGTCTGCGCCCGGGCCTGGGCGTAGGGGGCGCCGGAATGCGGGGCTCCAGGCCTGAGGATCTGGACCCCCGACACACACTTTCAGGCTTGGGGTCACACGTGCCCACTGGGCTAGAGCGAGGCCGGCGCCCCCGCCCCGCAGAAGCGGATCTTCGGGGCCCGGGAGGACGGGAAGGGGGTGGGGGCGGGGAAGTCGAGGTGGCACTGGGCTGGGGCGGAAGGGTCACCCGACGGCGGCTCCGGAGCGGGGTCCCCGCGGGTCCCGCCGCCCAGGGCGCCCCGGCGCTCGGGGTGGGGGAAGGGGGAGCTGTCAGAGGATGCACCGGTGACCCCAAGTCGCCGCCGCCGCCGCCGCGGCAGCTTTATTTTTAAACTTCCAGCGGGCGGAGGGCGCGGAGGGGGAGGGGTCCCCGCCCAGCGGGCCAGCCTCGTCCCCGGCTTCCTCGAGGCCCCTCCATCTCCCCCAACGCCGCCTCGGCGCGGCTCCCCGCGGCTTACCTGGAGCCGCGCCGGCGCCGGGCTCCGCCCGGGGGCCGCTCTCCATGGCTGCGGCGTCGCTGGGGGTCTCGGGGGTCTCAGCGGCGGCGGCGGCGGCGGCCGGCGGCCAGGGCGGGGGTCCCGCGGCACATCACGCCCAGCCCGCCCGGGCGGCAGCGGTCGGTGTCGGGGGCGCTCCGGGCGAGGTGGAGGCCGGCTCGGCTGGGTGGGCCTGCGAGGCTCAGAGTCGCCGGCCGCCTCGAGTCTTGATGGCCCGGCCGCGATCCTGCTCCCTGCCCCGCGCCGGCCCGGCCCGGCCCCGGCCCAGCCCTATTGTACCGCCCGGGCTGGGCCTGGCCTCGCCGCCGGCGCGTACCAAGTGCGGCGCGGGGGGGAGTCACCCCCGCGGTGCCCGGGGAGCGAGCCGCCGCGCGCCCCTCCCGCCCGGCCTCGCCCCCGCCTGGACGTCCAGAACTCGATGCTTCCGGACGCCTTCCCTGGGGTCCCCGCTGCGGGGCCGCTAGGGCTCCGGGAGGACCCCCGTCGAGCTGCCTCCCCCCCTCGGCCGCGCCTTGGTACGCGCCGCGGCGCGAGAAGACTATGTAGGGAGCGCTCTGTGACTCACCGGCCGCTGGGAGTGGGGGGAGCGGGGATGGGAGCCCCGATCCCACTGCGGAGCCCTAGAGCTCTGGCTCTGCGGCCCTGGCGGTAACTTCAAGGCTAAATTCTCTCCCAAACCCACCTCCAAAGCCACCCGGGGGACGGCGGGAGACCTGAAGCGGGGTCCCAGGGAGACCCCTGAAAGAGCTAGGCTTTCTCTCTCCCCCGGTCACGGCTGGATGGGGGAGGCCCGAGAGTGCCGCCGCCGCCCTTCCTCCAGCATCCCATGGTGTGTCCTCCCCGCGCCTCTGGGGTAATTACAGGCCTGCACCGCTGCTTACCCAGGTCTCTAATCCGCTGGGTCCCTCCCAGCTCCAAACTGGGTGGTCCTGGCCCAGAACCTCTCCACCCCCACAGACCCCTTAATCTCCTCGGATACCCCCCCGCACCCCCCGCACCCCGTGGCCTAATGAAGGAAGGACTAGACACCTTCTGACTCCCCTCCACCAAGGAACCCTGCTTCCACCCCTCGGAAGTGGGTCCCCCAATTCCCGGTAGTGCCAGTTGAGGTGGGGGCCTACTGCAGCCGGGGCAGACAGGGGGAGCCTGCTGGGAAGGTGGATCGATGATGTGGTGCTGCAGAGACTGACAGAGGCGGGAGGAGGTGCAACCGGGCCTGCCCACCCCAGCCCTGCTGCCCTTTGTCCTGACCTCTAGAAGGTCAGTTCTCCATTGTCCAGAGATGAGGCCCCGGGAGTAGTTGTCCGCCTGTCCCTCTTGCCAGTGTCTCCTTCCTTTGAGCCTCTCCAGAGAGCAGCCATTTCAAGGGGGAGGGTGGAGAACAAAGAGGTCTGGGTCTCGGGCAACCTAAGAGTGAGTAGTTGGGGACCTGAACCCTCTGGGGAGGGGATGGGGAAGGGATAGTTCCCCCTCCAGCCCCAAAATCATTAGAAGGCCGGCGGATGAAGCTGGTAACCTTATGCTAGTGTCTTAACTTTTCTGAAACCCAGTGTGCTCACCTATAAAGTTAAGGAAATAAATGGTATCATAAGGTATCATGGGGTGGTTACACAGATGAAGTGCTTAGCAAAGAGCCTGGCACATAGGATGTTTAATAAATCAGTACGACGACGACGACGATGATGATGATGATGATGGGGCTTCAAAGGAGAAAGCAAATTATGGAGAGGAGCAGATTCCCCATCTTTGTTGTCAGTTACTCCCCTGCAGGGTGAGGGTGAGGGGACCAGGGGGGTGGTGGGATGAGGTCAGAGAGGCCTCAAGGCCTGCATCTTCCACAGCTGAACAGGCCCACCCTGAGTCAAGTAGCGAACTAGACTCAGGAGAATTCATTAATGGAATCTAAGAGGTGGGGGGGGGGAGGCTCTTTGATGGATCTTTCCCCAGCCCCACCTCTGATTTGAGCTGACTGCAGGGATGAAGACATATACTAGTAGGTGGGAGTGGTGAGATACCCTCATTGACTAGAGCTCAAGAACAGTGAAAGGGAAATGGTAGCTAAAAATGAAAAGATAGGCCAGGGATGGATTTGAATGTACAGAAACAGGCCTTCTGTACAGAAACAGGCAGGAATGAGCTTCACATTACAATCTACATCAAGCATGTCTAACTCACGGCCCACAACGAATATTTTTGTGGCCCAGCCAATATGACAATATGTAAGAAACTTTTTAAAAATATAATTTATTGCCGAGGTTGGTTTGGCTCAGTGGTAGAGCGTCGGTCTGCGGACTAAGGAGTTCCAGGTTCGATTCCGGTCAAGGGCATGTACATCAGTTGCGGGCACATCCCCGGTAGAGGGTGTGCAAGAGGCAGCTGGTCGATGTTTCTCTCTCATTGATGTTTCTAGCTCTCTATCTCTCTCTCTCTCTGTAAGAAATCAATAAAATATATTTTAAAAATATATATATATATAATTTATTGATTTTTTTATAGAGAGGAAGGGAGAGGGATAGAGAGAAACGTTGATGAGAGAGAAACATTGATCAGCTGCCTCTTGCACACCCCCTACTGGGTATGTGCCTGCAACCAAAGTACATGCCCTTGACCAGAATCAACCCAGGATCTTTCAGTCAGCAGGCTGACGCTCTATCCACTGAGCCAAATCGGTTTCGGCTATAACTTAATTTTTACAATATCCTGATATACATAATAATAACAAACTGTAACGTTTACTAATGTCTGATTACTATAATCGTGTTGCATTCATTTCCCTTACCCGCCTTACGTGTAGGCGCACCATTTCTTTCCACTAATACTAACAGGGAATATTTTAGCAGCTGATTGCTATGTCATGAGTCTCGAACTGACTTGTTTGGTATGCGCAACAGGAAATATTTCACTTTCAGAGATCAAGAAAAATAAGTTTACTTGCATCACGCTTATTAATTTGTGCAGTTATTTAGTGTCTGGTAAGTTAATGTCCAAGAAAAAAATATTAATTTTTATTAAAATGTTCTATTATTTTATGTTAATGATTACTCATTTATTTCAGCCCTTTATAACCAGCATGTCTCTATTTAAATAAACCTATGTTGCTGTGAAAATTGAAGCTTTTGTTTTTTTTTGGCCCACATAAACATAAGCATAAACCTTGTTTATTTGGCCCGTGTTAGCTTTGAGTTTGACATGCTTGATCTACATGGAGATTCTTCAGAAGGAGAAGGGCGCGCAGTGCTATAGAACTGGAAAGCCTCTGTTGTGTCTAATGATCTGGGACTGACTTTGCAGAACCCACTGCAAAGAGACAGTGGATGGTGTTAGCCTCCACCAGTGATCCTCAAAAGGAGGCAATTTATCCCCCGAGGGGACACTTGGCAATGTTTAGATGCACTCTTGGTTGTCACACTGGGGGTGTTACTGAAATCCAGTGCTTAGATGCCAGGGATGCCACTGGACATCATACAAGGCATCGTACTTCCCCCAGAACAAAGAATCATCAGGCCTCAAAACATCAATGGAGCCCTAACCGGTTTGGCTCGGTGGATAGAGCGTAGGCCTGCGGGCTGAAGGGTCCCAGGTTCCATTTCGGTCAAGGGCACATCCCCAGTAGGAGGTGTGCAGGAGGTAGCTGATCAATGTTCCTCACTCATTGATGTTTCTGACTCTCTATCCCTCTCCCTTTCTCTCTGTAAAAACCAATAAAATATATATATATATTTTGTTTGTTTATTTTTTTTTCTAGTAGTCTATCTTTTATTTTATTTTTTTTAAATCAATCTTTATTGTTCATATTATTACAAAGGTTCCTCATTTCTTCCCCCCTCCACCAGGTTTCCACCCCACCCTCTGCCCCCTCCTCATCCCCCATTGTCCTCATCCATAGGTGCAGTTTATGTTCAGTCTCTTCCCTCAATTTCCCCAATAGTAAATCCCTTTTCAGATAGTAAATCAGTTACTTAGCATTTTCTCATATCAATAATACCTCCACATGCCCAATGATACACTTCACACAAAAGACATTTCCCAATAGGTCCACCAGCCTCATCCAGGCCAAAATATATATTTTTAAAAAATCAATGGAGCCAAGGGGAAGGAACCCTTCCCTAGGTTGAGGGTGGGGGCACCTGCACCCCCTCATAAGATGCTAGTGGTGCCACTTCCTGCATGTTGAGGGGTCCACAGTGAGTACTGGGAGGATGGAGCCTGGAAAGTGCCCGTCCTGAGATTGCTGCCATCAGAAGACACAGATGGAGGGGACTTCTCTTCATTCTCCCCCTAACTGACCAGGATCCCTGGCAGATGCCAGGCCTCTGCCACTGAGGAGGTTTAGAGTGGATGTCTCTCTCTGAGTTTGGGGCTGTGTGACAGTGCTTGAGGGCCCCCGCTTGCCCCCCAAATATGGAACATTCTGGAGTGGGGGCACTTGCAACATCCAGAGCTAAAACTCGGGACAGGCTGCCCTGACCTCTTAGATGAGGGACAGGGAACTCTGTGGCCCTCCAGTGCCTGCCCTACCGCCAGGGCTCGCCCCCTGTACAGAAACAGGAATGAATGAGCCGTTCCGTCTCACCACAGCCTGGGCTCTGGGGCAGGTCCTTAAATGAGGATCAGAAATATGTCCCCTTTCTGATCCTTTTCCAGGAGGGCAGGAGTTCATACAACCTCTTACTAGTAGGTTCCGGGAGGCAGGGTCCAGGATGAGCCTGATGGAGGGGTGAAGCAGTCACAGGGAGATTTGACACGGGGCTATGAATCAGGACCAAGGCCCTGGAGGCGGCCTTCACACCCACAAAGTAGGAAGTGGGAGGAGCCTCATGTTGGGGTGGTGACGGCAGGGAAGAACAGACACCAGATTCTCCTACCCCACCCCCAAGGTACTACTGCCTGAAGAGAAGGGGGTCTCCAACCCAGACTGCTTTCCTATGGAGCCATGGCCTCTAGGATCCACTCCCAGGCGCTGGAGGTGGAGAATGTCCTCTGGGATGTTGGTGATATCAACTGCAATAGGCCTCCCTCTCTCCAGCTCCTGGGATGCTGAAGAAGAACCGAGGGGGATGGGAGGGGCAGAAACTCAGATCCAAGACTAAATAGGTTCAACCCTTTGGGTTCCTGGGAAGAGGTCCTTATCTAAGGCCTTTGTCCTTACTGTGTTCTTTTCTGAAAAGAAGGAACCGAGGGTGGGGCGGGATGCCCGGTGTTCCTAAATCCTGGCCCTGAGGGGTGGTGGGGAGGAACTGGGATTTGAGGAAATGGTGGAAGCGGCACTGAGAGCCCTCAGAGTGGTAAGGGGGCCTTTATTTAGTAAGCTTTATTTTTAAAATCAATTTGAGAGAGAGAAAGAGGAAGAGATAAAAAACATCAGTTTGTTGTTCTGCTCAGCTATGCATTCATTGGTTGATTCCTATATGTGCCCTGACTGGGGTGGGGAGGGTGGGGTGGTGAGGGTGTGTCGAATGCAACGTAGTGTATTGGGATGATGCTCTAACCAGCTGAGCTACTCAGCCACAGCTTACAACTATAAGGAGCCTTTAAATTCTCATGTAAGCCAGGAGGAGACCCTATAGATCAGCCTGAGATGGACCCTGCCCCAACCTCAATTTAAGATTGATGACATGCCGAGACTGGTTTGGCTCAGTGGATAGAGCGTCGGCTTGGGGACTGAATGGTCCTGGGTTTGATTCCGGTCAAGGGCATGTACCTCGGTTGCGGGCACATCCCCAGTAGGGGGTGTGCAAAGAGGCAGCTGATTGATGATTCTCTCATCGATGTTTCTGACTATCTCTCTCTCTCTTCCTCTCTGTATAAAATCAATAAAATATATTTAAAAAAAAAAAAAAAGAAGGGAGAAAAAAAAAAGATTGATGACACTTTTGAAGACTTCCAAAAAAGACGCCAAGAGGAGGAATCACACACACACACACACACACACACACACACACACACGCTAAAATAAAAGGATTCACAGGCAGAGAGGACGAATCTCAGAGATTGAAAAATAGGCAAGGAGAGATTCCACCTCCAGTCTCTCCAGAAGCTCCCTGCTTGACAGCAGGCTGGGTGGGGTGGGGCTGGTGGCTGGCCGTGACTGTGACTCAGGTTTCTGTGGGCAGCCAAAGGCAGGCGGCAGGGAGGAGCCCAGACCAACAGGCAGGCCAGCCAACTGCAGCTTTCACCTCAGCTGTCCTCTCTCCTGGGAATTCGGGATGCTCTTCTCTGGCTGTGCTGGCCTCTGGGGACTGCTGACCCCTGCTTTCCCCACCTCCAGCCCCCATGTTCCTTCCCAGAACCCTCAGCCCTTGGCCCTCTGCCCTAAGCACTGACACAGGAGGGAGAGTCGAGGGGCACTGCCTCTCGGGAGGCCCCAGAATGTCTGGGCCACAGGGCCCAGGGTGTCATAATAATCCGGCCTGCACCCTGAGGGGAGCCCAGGGGAATCCTGAGCACTAGCTTTCAGCCTGAGCAGCAGAGCCCTCCAGTCTTCCTCAGCCTGGTTGGCTCAAGTCTGGACAGGCTGGTTGTTGTGAAGAGGGTTAGGGGCTAGAATTCAGCTTCTGCAGAGCAGGCCTACGTGAGGAGAGGGTGTCCAGCTACTCCAGCCCTGCCCCTTAGAGCTGACCAGCCAGGGAGGAATTGTTGGAGCTGAAACCAAAGAGCTCTGGTCAGGGACAGTAGGACTTCCCCTTGTGAGGGATGCGGGTGTGGCCAACACATTCCCCTGGTGTTTCTGGGACCTGTCTCTTGGGCTGTTTTTTGTTTTGTTTCCTTCCTTCCTTCCTTCCTTCCTTCCTTCCTTCCTTCCTTCCTTCCTTCCTTTTTTCCTCTCTTTTCCTCTCCCCCCCTCTTTCTTTTTAAAATATATTTTATTGATTTTTTTATAGAGAGAAAGAGAGGAAGAGAGTTAGAAACATTGATGAGAGAGGATCATCAACCAGCTGCCTCTTGCACATCCCCTACTGGGAACGTGCTCACAACCAAGGTACATGCCCTTGACCTGAATCTAACCTGGGACCTTTCAGTCCACAGACCGACGCTCTATCCACTGAGCCAAACCGGCTTCGGCTTCTTCCTTCCTTTCATCTTTCTTTCATCTTTCTTTCATCTTTCTTTCATCTTTCTTTCATCTTTCTTTCATCTTTCTTTCTTTCTTTCTTTCTTTTTTTTTCTTTCGTGGCAAGAAGAAAGGAGAATACACACTTTGTGTCCCAGTGCTCTGTATATGCCTCTCACCAGTCTTTATAACAACTGAGAGAGATCCAGTAACTTGCCTAAAATGGTAAAACTGGAATCATAACCCAGACTGGCTGCCACCAACACTGGTGATCTTTTCTGGAAGCCAGGCAGTTATTCTAGAGAGGGAGCCAGAAGAATGTGACCTGAACTTTATGGAATACATTGGATAGTCCATCACAGGGTTCAGGTGGTAGGATGCAGATGCTGGCTACGTTTGGAGTTTGGGGACACGATGGCAGTTTGAAGAGAAAACCACTAGCAGAATGTTTGACACATAGTTGGTGGTCATTAAATATTTTTGTAGTGAAGGAGAGAGATTTGCATGTGAGCCATTGCTAGTTTTTTTGGACATCCTGGGATCTTCTAGCTCTGAATTGCAGCAACAGCATAAGAAGCTAGTTGGAAAAGGGACTTTCTGAGAGACCAAACCCGGCGACAGAGGAATTTGCGGAGCATATCTGAGTGGGGGCTGGGGTGTGGGGAGGAGGAGGTAAAGTATGTGGTTGATACAGAATTACCCTAAGGTATGGACGCCACCCAGTGGCTAGCTAGTATGCAGCCCCGGGGAAGACGGGCTCTGCAAATTAGCCGCGCGCGGAGTTCTCTGGGAGTTGTAGTCCAGCTGCACTAAGGGGGCGGTGCTGCCAGAGGGGCTGTTGGGTGTTGTAGTCCGACATATACGGGAGAGAGGGGCAGTTACCCTCGTCGGCCGGACCACGAGTCCCGTGGTGCCCCGCGGCGGGCCGCGCAGGCGCGGTGTGTCGGTGCTGGTCAGTCCGGAAGGCGGAGGGGCCGTGGTTGGGTTGAGCCTTGTGAGAAGGGGTCGCTGAGTGGGCCTGTGGCGAGGTGGGCTGGGGCTTCCGGCACCATGTCGAGGCAGGCGAACCGAGGCACTGAGAGCAAGAAAATGGTAACTCGGAGCGTGTGACTTCGGCGGGCGGGGCAGAATAGAGGCGTTCTGGGGAAGGGGTCTGGCTGGGGCGCAAGCTCAAAGGGGTCCTCCTTTGAGCTCTGGGCGGAGGAGGTTCCGCTGGAGGAAGGGGGCGCTGCTCGGTGGGCGGAGAGGGGAGAGTCCCGCCGGGGCGCCCCGGGCCGGGCCGGTGGGAGGCCCGTAGAGCGGCTCAGAGACCCCTCCCCCCGCCTGCGTGCAGCCGAGCCTCTGTGTGCTGGGCCAACGACAGCGACGGCAGTAACAGTCATGGGCACTTTGGACTCTGTGTTAGGCCCTGGGCCTACTACTTACTTTCCGTGTATTATCTCACTTAATCCGCAAAATAATCCTCTCCGGTGGATGCAGTTATTGCCACTTTACAGCTCAGAGAGGTTACCTCACTTGCCCAAATTGACAGCTAGGAAGCATTAGGATGTGAACCTCCGTCTCTAACTCCAAAGCTAATGCTTCAGACTTCCAGACCATGGTCTCTCACACTTGCCTTGGCCTTGCAAGAGCTGCTCAGACACTGCTTTGGTCAGAAAGGAGCTTTCTGTCCCGTGGAGTAGGAGGTGGAGCAGAGGAGGCCATAACTGGTGCCCCCCTGGCAGGGAGGTTCTCTTCTTGTCCTGGGAAGAGTGGGACACCACAGAGCCCCATAAAGTTTGCCTGTGAATGGGGTCTGGGCCGGGAAAGTAAGGTAGATAACACTTTTCTCCAAAGTCAGGGGACTTTTTGACAGGTGTGCCTTCTCTTTGGCATGTTCTTCCTTCCTCCAGTTCCCCATGCTGCCTTTGTTTGTTTTCCCACTAAAAACTGAGAACTCAAGGTTGCATGCTGGGCAGGTGAGGGGCCTTTTGTTGACCTTTAGCTCTAGAGGGGATGATTCAACTTCCCTCTCACCTTCGCTTGTGCTGCCGGAGACCCCGTTACTGCCGAGGGGGACCCAACTTTTTCTCTCAATCAGACCCCTTTTGAGAAGCTGATGATTCCTGGTCTTCTCCCCAGAAATAGTAATTAGAAGAACATAGACATTACTAATACACAGACATTTAGTTACATTTGAAGATACTCCGTGAGTTACAGGTTAACAATTCCTGTTTTGGAGGAAATACCAATAGTTTAAATAAAGAAGAACAAGAGAATGTTTTATTAGGAAATTGTCGTGTAGGGAGAAAAGAATGAGCATTGGTTGGAATTCTGTCTTTCTCAATTGGTCCTCAGTTTCCTTATGTATAAAATGGAGATAATAATGCCCAGCTAGGATTAGGTTAGATTTCAGTGTACATCGCGTGGGGCATGGTCAATGTTTCCTCCTCCTTAAGATATGAGCAGAATATGAGAGGTCTTCCTGCTTAGTTTTCATAACTTGCATTTATTTTGTACTTTTAAAAAATATGTATATTTTATTGATTTCTTACAGAGAGGAAGGGAGAGGGATAGAGAGCTAGAAACATCGATGAGAGAGAAACATTGACCAGCTGCCTCCTGTACACCTCCTAGTGGGGATGTGCCTGCAACCAAGGTACATGCCCTTGACCGGAATCGAACCTGGGACCTTTCAGTCTGCAGGCCGACACTCTATCCACTGAGCCAAACAGGTTTTGGCTATTTTGTACTTTAAGAAAATATATATTTATATTGATTTCACAGAGAGGAGGAGGAGGGAGAGATAAACATCAATGATGAGAGAGAATCAATGATTGGTTGCCTCCTGACACCTCTTTGGATTCCTGCTCATTGGAATTAAATCTGGGACCCTTCAGTCCACAGGCTGATGCTCTATCCACTGAGCCAAACTAGGGCTGTATTTTTTTTTTTGAATCTGAAATCTTTAATATGAGTACAGTAGGAATTTGCAGTCTTCACTTCCAACCCCAATATTCACTCAGCTTTTTTGAAGGGAGGGAATTAGGGGGAAAGGGGCTACAGCACACTCCTGCCTCAAAGCTTTTGCAATGGCTGTTGTTGCTTGGAACTGGCTTCATGCACAACTATTCAAATGTCACTTCCTCAGAGAGGCTTTCCCTGATCACATGATTAGTTCTCTGTTCTGTTACTCTGCTGTTTTTCTTCACGGCACTGTATTTTGTTTGAAATATTTCATTATAAATTCTATATTTAGTTGTATATTTTCAGTCTCCCCCATGAGAATATAAACTCCGTGAGAGTAGGAATTTTTGTTCACTGCTCCATTCTCAGCACCTGAATGATGCATTAGGCCAGTGGTCGGCAAACTATGGCTCGAGAACCACACGCAGCTCTTTGGCCCCTTGAGTGTGGCTCTTCCACAAAATACCACATGCAGGCGCACACGTACAGTGCGATTGAAACTTCATGGCCCATGTGCAGAAGTTGGTTTTCGGCCTGGGCGAGTGTATTTTGAAGAAGTGGCATTAGAAGAAGTTTAAGTTTAAAAAATTTGACTCTCAAAAGAAGTTTCAATCGTTGTACTGTTGATATTTGGCTCTGTTGACCAGTGAGTTTGCCGACCACTGCGCTAGGCCGGCTGTATTTATTGGATGAATGGCACAAAGGTTTGTTGTGTCCTCTCATTCAGTTCCTACTGGTACCTACTTGGGGCTCGTCACATGATCCTCTTTGTAGCCACATGGCTTTCACAGGCTCCTTCCCTCTCTGCTTGGGGGGGTCTTCCCAGTTAGCCCAGTCTTCTGCAATCAGCGGTCTTGTAATTGCTTCAGCCTTTCAAGACTTCAAGGTTTAATATGCCCGAGTAACTAGATCTCTGCTTTTAGTTTGTGCAAACAGAAACAGCCATTTGTCCGGCAAACTTTCCTTGAGTCCCAACTTAATGGAAAGCTCTGTGCTAGGTGTTGGGGGAAATGCAGAGAGGAAGTCCTAATCCTTAATTCGAGAGGCACAGAATCTATGAGAGAGTCGGAAAAATACTAACATAGGAGTATAGTACTGTCCGGGATTGAGTCCTGACTTTCCTGCTTGCTCGTGTGACCTTGGGCAAGTTTATTCATTGTCCAAAACATCAGTTTCATCAGCTTTAAAATAAATTTAAAAAGGTAATAATAGTATCCATATCATAAGGATGTTCTGAGTATTAATTGAGATAGATAATGCATGCGAAGCGATGTCCCAGGATGGTTCAATTCCGAGTCTAGGCACATACCCACGTTGCAGGCTTGATTCCTAGTGGGGGGCATGCAGGAGGCAGCCCACCCATGTTTCACTCTCACATCAATGTTTCTCTATCTTCTTTTTTTTTAAAAATATATTTTATTGATTTTGTACAGAGAGGAAGGGAGAGAGATAGAGTGTTAGAAACATCGATGAGAGAGAGTCATCGCTCAGCTGCCTCTTGCACACCCCCCACTGGGGATATGCCCGCAACCAAGGTACATGCCCTTGACCGGAATCGAACCCAGGTCCCTTCAGTTCCCAAGCCGACGCTCTATCCATTGAGCCAAACCGGTTTTGGCTGTTTCTCTATCTTCTGTTCCCTCCTCCTCTCTCTCTCCAAAAAATAATAACAAAAATATTTTTTTAAAAGAAAATAGTTGACGCTCAGTAAATGTCAGCTAGCATTTTTTTAAAATATATTTTATTGATTTTTCATAGAGAGGAAGGGAGAGAGAGAACTAGAAACGTCGATGAGAGAGAAACATCGACCAGCTGCCTCTTGCACACCCCCTACCGGGGATGTGCCCGCAACCAACGTACATGCCCCTGACCGGAATCGAACCTGGGACCTTTCAGTCCACAGACCGACGCTCTACCTCTGAGCCAAACCGGTTTCGGCCAGCTAGCATTTTTATTAGTAAAGATATTAGCCTTCATGTGTCTGCATAGCGTTTAGTTCCTGAATCTCATAGACAATCAGGCCTGCCCTCCTTTTGTGTTGTGTTACTAGTAACCCAGCCCCAGCTGCTCAGGTGAATTACTCCTTAGCAGCAGCTCCAGAATCTCCATGACAGGAGTCTGGAGAGGGAGAGAGAGGTGGACTCTGTCCTGTTACCGACTTTCCTTCTCCAGCTGCTGGGGGCAGTCACACTAGATTACTTCTGTTGACAAAAATAGTACGTGTGACTCTTTTAGCATTAACTCCAAAAATCAGCTCCCTTAAAGGAGATTTGGTGTTTTTTGGGGGTGCTAAGTAAAAAACCTGAAAACTATCAAGTGCAGCAGCTCACCTGAGTGTAGGGCTTGGCTTAGCTCACTCTGCTCAGGTTGTACCTGAGGTACCTGGAGAAGAACTTGGAGATCTCCCTCTTTGATGCAACTGAATGATGCATTATTGGTTGCTACAAAGTTCTTTATGTGGATCAAGATCTCCCTCTTTGATGCTCTTTGATGCCCTGACCGGTTTGGCTCAGTGGATAGAGCGTAGGCCTGCGGACTGGAGGGTTCCAGGTTCTATTCCGGTCAAGGGTATGTATCTTGGTTGCGGTACATCCCCAGTAGGGGGTGTGCAGAAGGCAGCTGATTCTCTGTTTCTTCTTCTCCTCCTCCTCCTTCTTCTTCTTCTTCTTCTTCTTCTTCTTCTTCTTCTTCTTCTTCTTCTTCTTCTTTTTTTAATATATTTTATTGATTTTTTACAGAGAAGAAGGGAGAGGGATAGAGACTATTTCAGGGTCCTCTCTGACACCACACCACAGAAAACTAGTTTAAGAATAAAAATAATATCTACTTGAGTTCATACTATGCCCCAGGCACTAGACAAGCATCTGGTTGGAATCTCACAGTAACCTTGAAGGGCAGACAGTATTGTTGTAATTGTATAGAGGGGAAAAACTGAGATTCAGAGATATTAAGGAATGGACTAAGGTCACATGAGTTTTTTAAAAAATATATATTTTATTGATTTTTTACAGAGAGGAAGGGAGAAGAGAGTTAGAAATATCAATGAGAGAGAAACATCGATCAGCTGCCTCCTGCACACCTCCTATTTGGGATGTGCCTGCAACCAAGGTACATGCCCTTGACCAGAATCAAACCTGGGACCTTTC